CCCTGGCACTCTAAAACAAAATCGTGACATCTCTCATTGTCATCATACTCTTCGATTTCATAACTCTCGTCAGACGATAACATAGATTCCGTGTCGCTTTCCGAGCACTGCATACGTATAGCGGCCATTGTGAGACGATGACAAGTTCCCCCCGTGACGTCACAAAGTACCCTTGTATGCTAATTAGGTACTCTAGTTGGAGCCTCGCTCTGAGTCGACCAAGAAAACTGAACGTGGGCGTGTCCTTATCCAGAACATTATTATTGATCGTTTACTTAATTTATGTACATTTTTCACTTGATTTTTTTTCATAATGTTTTTATAAATAAATTTTGCACACAAAAAAAGTCAATTGTCCCAATTCAGTTACACTTTAAACTTATAGCAATATAGTACCTTGATGCATATCATTTTATTTTTCAGATTGGGTTCAAAATGGCCAACTGAAAGCCATTTTGTTGTAAAAAATGTAGTACCAGGATCCATATATATATATATTGAAAATGACTGGACCGGTCAAGTTGAAACTCCACACATACATCATATTGGACATACGCATATGAATTTGTTTTCTGATCTGATTGGGTGATTGGCAGCCATTTTAAGGCCAAAAATGTCAGTCACAGAACAAGATCTCAATTGTGCATGGATAGATTCTGTTCAAACATAGGAAATGCCTTGAACGTAATAGAACCTTTATGCATATCATTTTGTTTTTCAGATTTTGTTCAAAATGTCTGACTGGTGACCATTTGGTTTCAAAGAACGTAGTTCCTGATTCATGTATTTGACATATCTGGACCAATGAAGTTCAAACTTTACACATACATCATGCATGATTTTTGTCACCATCAAATCCAGATTGGCTGGGTGGTTATCTTGTTGAAACAAGTTTCAGTTCCATGGAGCCATATCTTGCACATGCCCTGGACCAATCAAGTTTAAACTTCACACATACATCACACATTAGGTTGTGTATATATACATCTTGCTCCTATAATACAAATTTATATACGAGTCCAAAATGTCACCGAGTGAGGAATGTCTGGGATTATATTGTTATTTTATGCATAAACAAAGACTGACAGTAACTTTTAAGTGTCAATTATTTGATTTGTATAGGATATGATGGGATTATTTGAGAGATTCTGGACATAACACAGACAAGTATTGTGAGTGGGGGGGGGGGGGGTCAAACAACCCTGCATTTGTATCTGTGTAGTGATTTTGGATTTATCATGTTCAGCAGAAATTCACATTACCTCAATCCATTTATCTGCAAGTTAATGCAACACCAAGTGAATATTGCAAAATTACCCCACAGCTACTATTGTTAGTTTGTGTTAATATAAACACGGATCTGTCCAATATCTCAAATGATTGGGCAACAAAGCTTTAATGAATAAAAATGGTTAACTTTGGAATAACTGAGCATTGGGTGCGTGCGTGCGTGCGTGCGTGCGTGCGTGCGTGCGTGCGTGTGTCATTATGCTACAGTAGACCATATAAATGTTAGACACAAAAAACATTACAGTAATCACATTTATCTTTGTAAACACACCAGTCTGGATACACTGGTTCACTTGTTATTGTATACACCCCAGTCTGCTCTGGATACACTGGTTCACTTGTTATTGTATACACCCCAGTCTGCTCTGGATACACTGGTTCACTTGTTATTGTATACACCCCAGTCTGCTCTGGATACACTGGCTCACATGTCATTGTATACACCCCAGTCTGCTCTGGGTTCACTTGTTATTGTATACACCCCAGTCTGCACTGGATACACTGGTTGACATGTCATTCTATGCATCCAAGTCTGCTCTGGATACACTGGTTCACTTGTCATTGTATACACAACAGTCTGCTCTGGGTACACTGGTTCACTTGTCATTGTATACACCCAAGC